ACTTCCCCTGCAAAGCTAATATGGATATGAAGAGAGCTAAAAAAGTAACATTTGAAATATCCCTAAAAATGAAAAATAAAGAATAATTTTCTTAACATTTCAGAAAATCTAGTATATTTTGGGCAGACTTTCAATGTGGATCTCTTTCCAAAAGGACCTATTCCCTTTGTCACAAATTTCCCTCTAACTTTTCAATAACTGTGAATACACTCAGGGTTAGTATATAAAGTCTTAAATTATTTTAATGTATTTCAGGCTGTTTGACACACGGTATAGTATAAGGGAACATGGGCAGCTTCTAAAAATTCTCAGTGTGGAAGACAGTGATGATGGAGTATACTGTTGCACTGCAAACAATGGAATAGGAGTGCCAGCAGAAAATTGTGGAGCATTACAAGTGAAAATGAGTAAGTATAAGTACATGATACTGAATTAAAGCTCAGTTCAGGTGAAACAGTGAAAAAACTATCTTTACCTCTCTGATTGCATACACAGTAGGACTCCCCTATCCACTGGATCAGCATCCGAGGATTCATTTATCTGCAGATTCACTGTGTTTTCAGAAAACTGATGAATATGTCCCAGTTAATAAAAAAATGGCTCTTGCTCAAGGCTCTTTTTCCTTATTTGTCCTATTCTTTGGCTTTCAGATAATTATTTCCCTTTTTTATGATTGGCCTCTGCTCTGCTTTCCTCCATTGCTTTGGAAGCTAACAATTCATAACTAATAAGACAAAAATTTGTAACAAAGATTTTTATATGGTGTGCCCATATTTATTTTGATACTCATGTGATATTTTTAAAAATGGTTTCCAATATTTCACTGAGGAACTGTCCTTGGAAATAAATTTTGAAGTTCTATCCTCAGTAAAATTCGCAGGCCCAATGTACCTGTGGATATGGCTGATCCACCATTCATTTGAGAATGAGCAAAGAGTTTTGAAGTTCTACTTCAGATGTGGTACAAGGAACTTGTAACCTGAATTCGAACAAATGAAGGCTAGATGTCTTCTGAATCAACAGAAACACATGTAGTCTTTGAGCATCATTACATGGAGGAAGACCTTAATATGAATTGTTATCTTTGTCCATCATCGTCATATATGAAAATTCACAAACAGACAACAGCACCTCATAGCCTACACAGTACATTTGATGATACAACTCCCAAGCAATGTGGATAGTCATAATGATTTAGCTTTTTCAAGAATAATACTGGGCAATCTATGCGAGTAATGATAGACAGGGCAAACTTGGAAGATGGATAATTTCAATCACTAAACTTTAATATCTTGCTAATGGAGGGAGCTACAGCAATGATGACTAGATAATAAAACCCTTGAAGAGATTTTGCAACAAAATGACTCATAGCTGGTAAAAGTGACCCTGGGTGCTTCAGAGCAAGATCTGAATCCCTCTTTAAAATCAAGCAGGAGGAAATTGCTTTTGATTGTAACACCCATATACAGTACTGTAGTATCTTTTCATCAGAACAATTTGACAAAAAGGCAAAAGGAGGCAAATGCAGGATGGAGGTTTTGAAATAATAGAAATTATTTATGAGAACCTCAATATTGTTTTGGTTGAAGTAAGTCCTCTCTGAAGCTGGGCTGTTTGTTATAGGATATTTATGAATATCACAAGTGGTCAGAAGTGACCACAACAGGAACTAGGAACAGAAGGAACAGAAGTGTTTTTTTTGTTTTTTTTTGTTTTTTTTGTGGTAAGCGGTTTGGCAGAAGGGTGGGATTGCCAGGTGTGCAGCATCCCATTCTGAGATTTCAAGGCCTAAAACTAGGAATTGACTGTAGTGGTATCAGACAAAGATTGGAAGAGTGATTCTCATGGTACTGCTACTATTTCCCTTTAATCTCCTTTCTATACAGTTTGTGTGTGTTTCTCTCTCTCTCTCTCTCTCTCTGTGTGTGTGTGTGTGTGTGTGTGTGTATCTATCCAAGACACAACATTATGATTTGAGATTTCAAGGCCTAAAACTAGGAATTGACTGTAGTGGTATCAGACAAAGATTGGAAGAGTGATTCTCATGGTACTGCTACTATTTCCCTTTAATCTCCTTTCTATACAGTTTGTGTGTGTTTCTCTCTCTCTCTCTCTCTCTCTGTGTGTGTGTGTGTGTGTGTGTGTGTATCTATCCAAGACACAACATTATGATTTGTGTGAGCTAGATTTGGTGGACAGAGTGACTGAAGAACTTTTGATAGAGGCTCGTAACATTGTACAGGAGGCAGCAACAAAAACCATCCCAAAGAAAAGGAAATGCAAGAAAGCAAAGTGGCTGTCCAACATGGCCTTACAAATACCAGAGAAGAGAAGGGAAACAAAATGCAAGGGAGATAAGGAAAGTTACAGAAAATTGAATGCAGACTTCCAAAGAATAGCAAGGAGAGACAAGAGGGCCTTCTTAAATGAACAATGCAAAGAAATAGAGGAAAATAATAGAAAAGGAAAAACCAGAGATCTGTTCAGGAAAATTGGAGATATTAAAGAAACATTTTGTGCAAAGATGGACATGATAAAGG